GGTTACGCACTTGCGTTCGGAACGGAAGTTACCCAGAACGAACCTTCACTCCTTCATTGGTGACCCTGGCCGTGCAAAGGAACCGCACCCTTCACGCGCCGCAGTCGTGGCGCCATCTATCCACCGCAACAGCAACCAAGCCGTCAAACATTGACGCAATAAGCTGTTACTTCTCAAAGTCGTCTCACACAAATGATGCAATCAAATCGTCACACAAATGACGCAATTCTCAAGTCGTCTCACACGAATGACGCAATCAAACCGTCACACACATGACGCAATTCTCAAAGCCGTCTCGCACGAATGACGCAACCCACCAAGTGACGCAACTGCTTACATGTTCGCCACGAATATGGTATGGTTTGTTCGCCTATTCGCCGAAACACTGGCAGGGGAGTATATGGCGGTGTGATATCTATATGAACTAGTACCAACATCACGCGAAGACGATCGTTTTGGCGTGATTGGTTACGCACTTGCGTTCGGAACGGAAGGTACCCACAACGAACCTTCACTCCTTCAAGTCCTTAAATGGTTTTAAAAAGTCCTCTCGTTGGCGTGATGCCGAAATTTCAAGAGAATAACGCCAGTTTTGATATCTTCCTCGTCACTTGACCGATGGTCAAAATTACGAGATACGTCGTTTAACTTCAAAGTGCGATTTTAATAAATAATCAACATCAAATAAAATCATCCGGTGGAAATTTACCCCAGTTGCTTTCTACATTAACGTGCATTCATTACTTATTGCTAAGTCTTATGACTTTAAATTTTTAATTAGTTTATTATTTATGTATTTGTTTATAACACACGTATTTAATTTGAATAAAAATTTCGTCACAATGCTTTGGTATCTTTTCAAAAGTGTTTATTCTAAATTAACTAGCTCTAGACAAAAAAAAAAACATCAGGAAATTGAACCTCACTTTCTGAGTTTTTGAATTACATTAGTTTATTCCTTTTAAATGCATGTTAATATATTGCTGTGTGTGATTCAGGGTTCTAATACTCGACATAAGATCTTTATGTATAATGGGAGCTGTTTCTAGTTAAATAATACTGGACTGATACATATTATGTAGCCAGGGCCGATCCTAGCAGGTATGCAGCATGCACCGCATGCAGGCGGTCAAAACAAGGCGTGGCCGCATATAGTTCTATCAATTAAGCAAAATTTTTTATGAATCTCTGAAAATGAAACTTATAATAAGTCGAATAAATATGGTGAATTTGAAATAGTTATTGAAAAAAATCAAAATACGTTCCCAATTCCAAATAACATAGCATAATTTAAGGAAAATAGAATGTTAGTGCACACTGTGTTCCACATAATTCATCAATGCCTCTCTTTATGCACATCATTTCGTAGAAAAATTCGTGGCTGATCCAGCAATACCGCAAGAAAAGTTTTTTTGTTGTTGTTGCTTATCAGAGGTACTGGCGCTGTCGATGTGTATCAATGCTTAACAAGGGCGTCTCAAATTGACTTTTTGCGAAAGTTACCTTAAAACAACATCTAATGTGGTTAATATTACCTAAGATATAGGAATGTTTCAATTCAATATGCATTTGGGTAAATTACAAGCTTTCAATCCAATAACAGACACAATTTAGAAAAACAAACTAGAGGAAAGAAGTGATTTTTTGGTCTATTTGCAATTTTACTAATGTTTTACTTTTTAATCTTATACAGATAGAGGAGTTTATAACTTCAACGTTAAGCATTAGTTAAAATATGAAAAATTCTTTTGAGGGGCGGCACATTAGGTCTTGGCACGCGGCCAGTCGATACCCTAGGATTGATCCTGATGTAGTAGTCACTGATTGAATTAACATCGTATTTAAAGGAATACGTGGGCTATTGGAGATAAATTTTAAATCACGGTAGAAGGATGTGAATGACACTCTTAAGCTAGCCGTTAGATGGACTTCAGTAGCTTAGATCACAAAACATGGTCTAGAGATGAATCGTGATGAAGTCTTGAAAACATATTTGTAACGACTCTTTGCGTGATATATTCTTCTGCTAACCAATTAACGATTACTAGGTATAGTTTAAGCAAATATGGCTCTTGCACAGGTATAAAATCAACCAGTCATCCAATATATTTCAAAATTGTGCTACATAGCTTAAAATTGAGAAATAATTACACGGGGTGGCTGGATTATTTTGATATATTTCTAGTCTCATAAATGTAAAAATACTTTAAGTGGTTTTTATTGCAATGCTTAATATGTTCTCTTAACTTTTTTTTTTTTTACTTCTCTCTACCTTTCTCTTCTAAGCCTAGTTGTCTACAAAGTATAACCTTATCATGAAAAAATCTAAAACAATAAAGTAACTATAATTTAATCTAGAAAGGAACATTTATAAGTTATAAACCATACATTTTGACAAAACAGTACGAAACAAGAATCATTGCATAAAAAGACACATAAAAACGAAAGTACATGTTTATAGAAGTACAAAAACATGATCCAGATTATATATTAAAGAAAGTATGTATTACGTAAACTCTAAAATAACAATAATTAAAAGTAAACATGTGAATTTTGTCACAAAATCTTACATTTGCAAAGCTTGGTCAAACGATAACTTCACATAAGTTAATAAAGTTCTCGTTTTGAGATTTTTCAACAGCTGAGACGCCAAGAAATTTTTAAAAAATGCCTACAGTTCAATTTCTTTTTAAAAGCTACCAAAGTGGATATTGTATTTTTATAGCATGTTAATATTGATATAAGGATACATTTCAGAACCATTGCAGTGCTTTTTTTACATGATAGAATTTTTGTAATTCATTAAAAACGAGTTTAAATTTTGTTTTGCGAAAGCAACAATCTCAATTCTTTAATACCATTCACATTGTGTTCTTTTTGAAAACTCCCTCCACGATTCTTAACTGTTGCTGCTGCCATCTAGAAATTCAGTCTACAAAATGGCTGATATGAAAACAAAATTAAAGCTAGAAACAAATTTGAATGATTAAACATTCAATTGTTCGAAAGGGAATGATTTTTATTACAAATATTTCATGTGTCTTTATAAGGTTTTAAAAAGCATTTCCATTGCCTTAACTGAACACAAATAGGTAGGAAAAGGGGGAAGGT